CTCCATGGCTGCCATGATTCTTAGACATACTGGGGAATGATCATGAGCGACAGAGGAGCTCAACTCCTCAGTGTCCCAGGTGGCATGTTCTTGGGCAAGTTACTTACATCTCTGAGCCCTGATTTCTGTTGTGTCAAAAGGAGGGTAGTTATAGAACCCAGCTCATAGGGTTGGTGTGAGAGTTTTAAGAGACTTGCATGGTGCCCTCATAGATGGCACATGGTATGAGTGTTATCCAGAGCACAATGCTGCCAGAAAGCCCCACCGTGGGGACCTTTGAGACGAATCCACAGAGACTACTGAGAAACTCAGCATGTCCAGGAAGGGCAGGAAGAGCCCTGTCTGGGCACAACCAGTTGTCCTGTCTAGGGACCCGGGTGGGCTTTCTGGGGTAGGGCTGGGGGAGAGTAGGACACAATCTAACCAGCAGAAGGACGGAATTCATCTAGCTGGCAAAATGTGGTCCGTGGAGAGGATGGGGGCCAATAGGAGCTGGAGGATGGTCTAGACACTTTTTAGATATAGACCCAGCCCTGAGCCCTCCTTTCCTGGGAACCTGGGAACTCCCCCACCTCTCCCACAGCTCCCTGTTCATTTCACCCCTCCACGCTGAGGCACTGACAGGACGGAGCTGTCCTCTGGCCGGAGTCCGCACTGGCACGGAGAGGTGCTTGTAAGTGCTGGCATTCGGACCAGGAGGCGTGTGAGCTCAGGAATCCTGTGCTAGGAGAGCAGACGGATGCACAATGAGAAACAGAGAGGGACCCTGCAGAGAAAGAGGGAAGGGAAAGGGAGAGGAGGGGAAAGCGCCGCCGTGCCTCTTGAAGGCCTTCCAGGCAGTTCCGCTTCCTGGCCCTGGTGAGGCCCAGCTGTGTCCCCTCTCATGGACTCTGGGAGATACCTCGTGTCCTTACATAACCAACTTATTAAATGAGCTGGACTAGTCAGGTGTAAGAAGAAACCAACTTTATTTTTTCCTCAGTGTCGTTCCCAGCCTACTCTGTGGACTAGTTTTATTTCCTGTCGACGCCGAAAACAGCATCTTTCTGCCATTGGGCATGACGAAGCCCAGCAGTTGCCTCCTGCATGCGCAGAGGGCACAATCTACCAGCCCCATCCTAGCAGCCCATTGTCACAGTCTGGACTCCGAAAGCAGACCAGCCCTGGCTGGCGGCCTGGGGTGTGGAGGGCACGGAGCAGCGTCTCCACTGGGCCCAGTCTCTCTGCTTCCCCCACTCGCCTGCCTAGTGGTGTGGCCCTTGGGGCTGAGGGAGAAGGACGGGTCAGGGCCATCTTTTGTGGCCAGTTCGGTCGTTGTCCAGAACTTGCACCCACGCTCTGTCCTTTTCTCTCTTTGCTGTCTTTTCTCCCTTTTCGCTGCCGCTTCTTCAGATTTTCCTTTCTGGGCACCACTGACTCAGCTGCCCAGAGAGGGTAATGCTTCTCTTCCAGCTGACCACTTAGGACTCCCCGATTGGCTCCTGGGCCTCCTGCCCTCTCCCCACCCCCACCCCCTATCCAGGCTGCCCTCTGGTTCCTCGGAGACCTGTGTCTGTGCCTCCCCTGCCCCATCCGTGGGCTTGCTGTTTGCTCTCTATGTGGTCAGTTTTTCTGGACCTAAGGCATGAGTCAGAGGGGAGCACTCATGCTTGTCCACGCCAAACTCCTCGAGTGCCCCTGAAGTCCCTGTCAGGACAGGACTGAAAGAAAAACCTTTGAACTACTGAAAACAACATCTGTGAGAGTACAATTCTCATAATCCACAATGCTCTTTGGGAACTCAAGGTGTTTCTGTAGTGGTGGGGGACAGCTCCTCCCCACAAGGATATTTTTCTGTACTTTTCTCACAGTCTGCAGGTGAACAGTGTGTTCCTGTTGGAGAACCAGTCTGAGGCCACACCCTGCAGGGACGGTTTTGCACCTGCTCTAGAAGGTGGGCTACTCGCCTTAGGGGTCTAGATAAAACCGAGGTGGCAGGAAGAGTGTCTAATGTTTGTTATGCTTAAAATGTCCCCTTTTTTGTCTAATCTAGTTGTCTGGCTTTCTCTTAGGGTAACCAAGAGTGTATACAAGACTTTGTAGAACAGGTGAGGTGGCTTTGGGAGGTGACGGAAGACCCCTTGGGCTCCCAAAGACCACCTATGGATTATAAGAATTGTAGATTCTCATAAACATTGTTTTCAGTGGTGAGAGGTTCTCTTTTAACCTTGCTTGGTCCTATCAGTGTTACTGGCTTGAAGAACCTCTCTGTCTTCCTGTCCTGTTCCCCAGCAGGTGGATACCCTCCAGTGACCAAGGTTTTGGCCCAAACTGGGACATTGGGGTTTGGCAGAGTTTCACTGACTTCCTTCAGGGTCTGTAGGAGGTCCTTAAGGTCACCATGGAGACCTAGTAACAGTAGGACTCCTCTGACTAGAGGCTCTAAAGGTCACAATATGGATGAGGAGGAGTGTTGACATGGATGGGTCAGACTGGCGGTGTTTGCTGGTGGGGGGAGCAGCTCACTGGGCACTAAGGTGCACTGCACTTGAGCAGGGCTCTCTCTCGTCTCCATATTCTCCTCTGATGCTTTGGTTTGGTAAGCTGTCTCCCCTCCCTCCCCATTCTGCTCTAAGGAGAGTGGGTTCCATATCTCCGGTGGGCTTATTTCTGCCTCTCCTTCCCCATAGCCAACTGCAGCTTTGCTAGAGAAAGCTCCCATGTGGTTGTTACGAAGAGGGATCTTCGGGTCCAGAGGTGTAAGTGCATTTAAAATTTTGATATATACATTGCCAAATTGTCATGTTGTATCAGTTTATACTCCCATCCAGGGTATGTAGAGTACATACTTCTCCATTGCCTTGTCTACATGGGGGTTGACACTGTTTTCGTCTCTGCCAATCCAGGTGGCAGGCACCCTGTGATGGCGTAGGCTCGATTCAGTGCCCCTCTTGTTACTTCTGACGTTGGAGTCTTTTCTTGTGTACTGGCCATTTGTGAGTCTTCTGATGTGTCTGTGTACTTGACCAAGTTTTCTATCACAGTGTTTGTATCTTTCTTAATTGGAAAGAGTTCCTGGTGCAGCATGAATATTAATTCTATATTTTTCCTTGTTTCACATTTGCCTTTCGATCTCAGTCATGTTTGGTTTTTCAAAGGACAGAAAATGTGGGGCTTTGTTTAGTTATGTCCCTGAGTCTTTTCCTTTATGGTTTTGGGGTTTCCTATCATGCCTAGAGATGCTTCCCGACACATGGGTTTGTTTCACAGGGGGGTGGTCCTGGCAGTTGGCAGGGAAGTCGGGTTGGCATGAGGAGGTGGAGGCACAGGACTCCTGGCCGTGAGGGCAGAGGGGACGAGCGTACACCGAGCAGAGAAGAGCTGCAGCGGAGGGAGGCGTTGACCTCGGTGAGGGGCACAGAGGAGTCCTTAGTTTTGACCGAGGAAGGTGTTGACCACACTGCCTGTGAGGGGCGACCAGGAAACAGGAGCAGACAGGATGTAAGGAGGTGGAGCACCAGAGGACCGTCCTGGCCTGAGGGACTGTCACAGGGCTGCTGGGGCACACGTGGAAATCAAAGATAGGGAGAGTGTGACTTAAAGGACTTGGCTGCATGTTCCTGGTGCTGAATCTCTTCCTGGTTTTACTTAAAGAGGCTCTAATATAGGAGGTCCCAGAAAGGCCTTCACAAACAATAACACACAGTGTGGATACATCCAAATAGCACTGATGGCTTTTATTGCAGATTTGTGCCATTACAAGGATAATCTGGGAATATATTAAAAAAAAACACCTCCCTTTTATATACACAAAACATGCTACATGGTACACTTTGTGAGAATGCTGAGGTAATAGGCACACACCCAGACATGGACAGTACCAAATGTTCCAACGTCTCGCACACCCCGACCCACTCACCCACTGGGAGGGTCTCACCTGACTCCTCTCTCGCTCCCTGCTTGGCAATAGTTCAGGTGGTACTGAGTCTGACACTTATGGCCAACAGGACTTGGGAAGCCACCTCGCTGTAACACAACAAACAAAGGGCCTGGTGGCCCTGGTTTCAGTAACTCACAAGAACGGCCGTTTCTCACTTTTGTGGCGCCTGCTTTCTCCGGGAAGTGTACTGGGGATGAGATGCGGACTCTAGTGGCCTGAAAGCATGGGACCTTTGGTCTGTAGCCATTTGGGGGTCCTAGTGATCAGATGGTGACTTCTCTCCATCCAGTTGGATAGCTCCTGGGCAAGGTAGGTTATTAGTTCTGTGAAGGTTAAAATAACACGTAGGCTAAAGTGTGGATGGAAAATACAAAACTGCGGATACATTATCTATGTGGCTGGTAGTTAGTTTTGGGCTTGGCCTTCCCTTTCCTGGCCAGAAACCTGGAGCCCAGATTGTCTCCTACTCAGAGGCAAAGGAACCTTGCCTAGAAAGAAGGGGTGATGTGACAGAAAAGGCCAGGAGAGGGGAGGCATGGAGAAGAAAAGAGCAGAAAGGCGCTCAGAAGCAGAGCAAGTGGCCATCGGGTGACACATACAAGGCACTTCTTGAATGGTGCTGAATGAATGAATAAGCGGGCAGACGAGCGGACAGATGGACGGGGGGATGGTAGAAGTCCTGAGAATGGGAGGGAGTATAGAAATGGAGATGGAGGTGGATTTTGACATTTGATTAGGTGCTCAAAGGGGTTCTTAAGTTGAAAACCCCTGTAGAGAATAGCGTTATAGACATTCCTGTAAGAAATCAGGCACATGGACACCAAGTCTTGATCTTTGAATCAGAGCTATACAGTCTATGATCTGCTCTGAAACTCAAGTAACATGACACAAGGAAATGCTTTCCTCCCAAGAGCAATGTTGGTAAGAGCTTCCACACATGCGAATTGAATATATGTGTGTTTAGGTATACAAGGCAAACCTATATATGTATCTAGATATATGACATGTGCCATATATCTCAATGCATATACATGTGGTATGCACATAAGTGAGCAGGGTCGGCTCATACACATGCATATTATGAAGGTATTTTGCAGTTGTGTTTTTATTGTAGGAACTTAATTTATTTAAGGAAAGACTGGTCTGCAGTCCTGTCCTGTCTGGAAACATGAGAGGCTGTCTGGTGTGAAGGAAAGTAGTAGGGACAGAGAATACTGTACTATTCAGTTCCATTATCTGCCGCAGTGACTCGGGAAAACAGTCCACCATCTCAGTCCTTCTGGCCCCCAGCTGAACTGGTGAGGAGTTGCTTTTTGTGCTGAGGCCTGCATGGCCAGGGCAGGCTCCTGACAAAGGCCACGAGAGGTCAGGAGGGGAGCTGGCTTAGTGGAAGGTGTTGGGATTGGGCCGGATCATCATCACCACTTTCTTGAGTGAGTAGGAGCCTCCTCGGAACTCGGCCCAGTAGACTCCATCCTGGTAGCGGCTCCGGTAATGGCCCCCGCGGTACCAAACCCCATTGAGGTTGGCATGGGCGCAGGCGTTATACCACCAGCCTCCCTTCTGGTAGTGGGCACAATTCCCTGCAGGAGAGAAGGGAGTGAGAAGGTCTTGGGGAGGAAGCGGTTTACCCATGTCCACTGTTTGCTTGGGAACTTTAGCAGGACCCTCTCTGTGGGGCCTGTAGGGCAAGAATGCTTGAGAGTCAGACCGGGCTCCAGACCTGCACAGACCTGTCTTTGAGGCTCGGCCTTCTGGCTGACAAGCTGTGTGATTCTGGGCGACTTAACTTCACTGAGCCACCAAATTCTCATCGCAAATTGAGGGTAAACATATGCCTCCCGCACAGGACCACATGGGGATTGAATAAGGGCACGTATTTTAGCTCCCAGCTGCGGGGCTTGGTGCAGAGGAAGCTGGGGAGGACTCACACCACAGGTTTGCACAAAACATGGAAATAGCCTGAGGGGCGGGGGGAAAGGCAAAAGGGTTTTTCTTAGGAATTGTTTTAGAGTTGAAACTGTTGGATCAAGAGTTTTTATTGCCCTGGCCAGTTTGGTTCAGCCTGCAGACCAGAGAGTCCTGGGTTCGATTCCCATTAAGGGCATGTACCTTGGTTGCAGTTTGTATCTGGCCCCAGTTGGAGTCATGTGGGTGGCAGCCAGTCGATGTGTCTCTCTCTCTTCCTTTCTCTCTCCCTCTTGCTCTATCTGAAGATAAATGCAAAAAGTGTCCTCGGGTGAGGATAAAAAGAGTCTTTATAGAATGACAGAGGATGTGTTTGAGAGAAAATTCTCTTCTATTCCTCCCCAATCTGAATTCCAGCCAAATACACACACACACACACACACACACACACACACACATATGTGTGTGTATATATATATATTATTTCATAAAAAAAAGATATTTTTATAAAACTTTTTTTTTTTTAATCCCCACCGAGAACATTTTTCCATTTTTTGTTCAGCTAGAGTGGAAGGGAGAGAGCGGAAGAGAGAGAGAGAGAGAGAGAGAGAGAGAGAAACAGCGATGTGAAAGGGACACATCGGGTGGCTGCCTCCCACATGACCCAACCAGGCTGGGGACAAACTGCAACCGAGGTATGTGCCCTTAGCGGGAACCAAACCCGGATTTCTCTGGACCGCAGGCCGACACTCTAACCACTGAGCCAAACCGGCCAGGGTTTTATGAAACTTTTGACACTATTGTATCATTCTGGATTTTTCTGCCAAGGACAAGCAGTTTGGAACAGTGGTAAAAGTATGGGCAAGGCTTGTTCTTCATAGGAAGAGGGAGGAAGAGGAGACTCTGTCTGCTTGGGCTGCTCTTAGCTAAAAGAGGGGGTCCCCAGTTTCCTGATCAGCCCTAGGAAGCAGGCCCCCACTCAGGGGAAGGGCTGCCCCAGTCAAGTTTGTGGGTTGGGGGCCTGATGGAGCTGGTGGGCCCGCTCCGGCCGAGGCCTCGGGGTCAGGTGAGCAGGGAGCAGGCCAGCTGAAGCAAATAGCTGAGGGGAGACTCAGCCCCAGGCACCTCGGAGCCCCAGCAGCCCAGGTTTTCCAGCACGTTTCTCGGGTTCCTCTGGGCCATGACTTGAGGCCACAAGGACTGAAGGGCAGTGCTGTGTTTGGAGAGCAGTCAGCCAGCCTCCTGCCAGCAGAGGCCCCTCCCAGGCTTGCTCTGTGCGCCTCCAGACACCAGGAGCTCACCTCTGCTCTGCCCACTGACCTGCTGCTGGATTGGCCTGATGGGTGGGCTCATGGGACAGTCTTCTCCCTGCGGCCCATGATGGTCTGAAGAATGCTGTACCAGCCCCATGTCCCTAGAGCCTGACCCGCTCTGAGGGTCGTCTTCCTACCCTTCCACCAGTGAGCAGGTGGAGGTCTCTACATGCCCCCTGATGTCGTGAGAACCGCCTGAGGGAGTGTGGCTGCATGGGGACCTGGAGTCCATAAGGACCTCCCTCCTCAGTATGCAGGCAGCAGAGCGTCCCTGAAGGGCAGGTAGTTCCTGGGACAGTCCTCAAGGGCAGGGAGTAGCCTTTGGACCAGGACTGAATGGGGAGCTGGGGCAGGAGGGGACGAGGTTTGCCCTTGAGAACAGACAGCCTCGGCCTGGAGGGGTTGCCTCACGGGGAGGAGCTAGGCCTTGCTTACTCGCCAGCTAGCCAGGGCCTCATCTCAAGAATTGGGTGTGGGCTTTGAGAGGCATTAACTGAGGGGGTCAGGGGTTGAGTCTGTGCTTATAATTTTCTGTCCCTCTCCCACACACCTCCGCTTTGAAAAATCTAATAAAGACTTCTTAGTAAAGACCTAGGTGTGAGGCACGTGACCTTGGACAGATCACTCAGCTCTTCCGCAGGTTCCTCTCACTGGCTGGCCCCCTGCAGCGCACATGAACAGCGGGCAGCAGCAGTCACACGGAGCCCACTGGGCCGCCCTGTCTGTGTGTCGAGTCCCAGGCAGCACTCAGGGGCCTTCCCGCTAACTGTCTCACCACCCTGCAGGGTAGGAATGGCCCTCATTTCCACGTGTGGAGACTGAGGCCAGAGAGATGAAGCAGGACGCCCAAGGACACATGTAGGAGGGGACTGGCACTGTATTCCCGGGTGTGGCCCAGAGTCCGCGGGGTGAGTGGCCCTGACACACAGTGCCTCAGGCAGAGAGGTGACACGAGTGCACCGATTGGCCAGCAAATGTGGGGTCTGTACACCTCTTAACTTTACCTTTGGTAAATGCCATTTTGCCCCAGCTTGGCAAAGGGGATCTGTGGGCAGTGGGCAGAGGGGTGGACCTTTGGGGGCAGGGACAGGCTCAGGCAGCTGGGCCCTGGGATCTTCCCATTCTCAGGCCCTGAAGTTTGGGGCCCTGGCTTTGGTTGACCTCTTTCCTCTGCCCTCCACCTGGATTTGACTCCACTAGTCCTACCTGTGTAGACATCGTGGTCTCTGTCCAGAGTGGTAAACTGCTTGCCGTTGTGCCAGGTGAAGGAGTCACCAGCATTGCCATGGTAGCGCCCCAGCCGCAGCTTGTAATACTCGCTCTCAGGCTCCAGGCGGAAGCTGGCATATTCTGCAAAGACCTTGCGGCCAGACCAGTCCTCCATGGTCACCAGCAGTTTGTAGTTGCCTTGGTTCGTCAGCCAGTAAATGTTCTCCAGGCCCAGCCAGTACTCGCCGTCGATGTTCCCAAACCCTTGCTGGGGAAAATGCAGGGGAGCATTAGTGAGGACTGGGCAGTGCCCTCGGCCAGCAGGGCCTGGCTGTTAGAGGCACAGCACTGGATAGAAGGGCCTGGAAACAGGAGCACATGAGGCAGGTCTGGGTTCAAGTCCCCACTCCTCTACTTGGCTGTGCCTTGATGAGTCACCACATCTTTCTGAGCCTCAGTCAGCATCATCTAGGCCAGCAGTTCTCAACCTGCGGGTCGTGACCCCTTTGAGGGTCGAACGACCCTTTCACAGGGGTCACCTAAGACATAACAGTAGCAAAATTATAGTTATGAAGTAGCAAAGAAAATAATTTTGTGGTTGGGGGGTCACCACAACATGAGGAACTGTATTAAAGGGTCGTGGCATTAGGAAGGTTGAGAACCACCGGGGCGATCTAGAGAGTGCCCGGTCTGTGCTAGGCATTATGTGAGCACGGGGGGTGCTGCTACTTTCCCCACCCGGCTGTGCAGGGACACATGGGATGCAGCACATGGAGAGCCCAGCACACAGCAGGATGCAGCGAGAGCTCCTTGGATAAGTCCCTTACCTTCTCTGAGCTGCAGTTTTCTTCTTGGGGTGGGCTGTGTGAGAGGGCCCGTGAACTCCAAAGCACAGACAGGTGTGAACTGCGACAAGCAAGTGCCACATTCCCCTGGGCTCCCTCTTGGTCTAAAATCTGGTGGTTTTGTTATTGTGTTTACATGTAGTTTGGGGAGTCATTAGCTGAGTCATGGCCACTGAAGGCTTAAAAATAGATGGATTCAGCCCTGGCCGGTTTGGCTCAGCGGTTAGAGCATCAGCCTGTGGTCCAGAGAGACCTGGGTTTGGTTCCCACTAAGGGCACGTACCTCAATTGCAGTTTGTCCTCAGCCCTGGTTGGGTCATGCAGGTGGCAACCACTTAGTGTGTCCCTTTCACATTGATGTTTCTCTCTCTCTCTCTCCCTCCCACTCTAGATGAACAAAAAATGGAAAAATGTCCTTGTGTGAGGATAAAAAAAAGAAAGAAAATAGATGGCTTCAGTAATAACAATAGGAATAATAGTATTTAGTGAGCTAAATACTGTACTGGCATTGTTACCAGAACTTTACGTAGGGTAGTTTATTAATCCTTCTGCCAGCTCATAAGAGCTAGGTGCTATCATTATCCTCCCTAGAATGTGTGAACTGAAGCCCAGACAGGCCCAGCATCGCAGAGCACTGGAGGGTGAGGCAGGATTTGAATCCAGAGCCCTGTCTTAACCATTGTGCTCTGCTGCCTCTGAGAAACAGAAGACAGAAAGGAGGAGGAAGGAGTTAGGCTGTGTGTCTCCAGAAAACTCTCATTAGGAGGCAGAGGAGAAAAAGAAGGAAGCAAAGACACAGGCCTGTCAGGAGGTGGGTCGGAGGGCAGCCAGGGCTGGAAGGGGGCACAGCAGAGCCACAGGCAGCCATCGGTGTCAGCCAGCTGAGCAGGTCATCTCACTTTTTTATCTAGAAACTGGGTTGTTACCAGTGTGTCCCCCTAGGATTGACGTGAGACTCAGCGAGGTGCTGAATGGAAGTGCTCTGGTGGTGCCTGGCGCGTGGCAGGTGCCCAGTACACTGAGCTGCTCTGGGTGTGCGCACCACCTCTTGGTTTCGTGGAGGGAGGCAGAGGCACAGCCGAGCCTTCGCAGCCCTTCCTATTGTGAGAATGAGTATTCAGCCACCTAGGAATTGGGACTTGTCCCTTCTGAGCTGTGTGAACACATCTTCCCACAAGGAAGCCCCAGCTGGGAGTAAGCTGTTCCCCACACCCAGGCTGGAGTGAGGAGCCACTGCACCCATCCGTGGGCTTTGTGGTCTGGACTCCGGACTCCCGGCAGTTGTGAGTGGCAGGCAGGAAGGAGCTACTGGCCCTCCTGTCCCTGGTGGGTCTGCAGAAATGGCCCTGTCTGTGTCCTCCTTGCCTCAGGCACAAGCCCTGACAGGTCAGCAGGCACCTTCCCTCCGAGTGGCTCCGTCACTGCTCAGTCAGGCCTCTCAAGGTGGGCCAGTCGTTTTGTGGGCAGCACAGATAGGCCCTGTGGTCCTCACCTTGTATGTCTCCCAGTTCCTGAAGAAGTTGACAGAGCCGTCCAGGCGCCTCTGGATGACGGTCCAGCCACCAGGGTCGTGCCGCTGGTCGCACCACACCTGCATGAGACGGTTGGTGTTCTCTGGCTTCACCAGGTAGATGGAGCTGGTGTCATGGCCATCCTCCAGGGCCTGCAGGCAGTCTCTCCATGGGCCTGGGGACACAGACGTGCACATGTCACAGACAGGCCACTGAGCAGGCTCAGCCTCTGCGGCAGTGGTCCCCCCTCCAGTTTCACCTTCTGCAGTTTCAGTTACCCACGGTCAACCATGGTCTGAAAATATTAAATGGAAAATTCCAGAAATAAACAATTCATATGTTTTAAATTGTACATTGTCCTAAGTAGCATGATGAAATCTTACACCCTCCCACTCTATCCCGACTGTATGAGAATCATCTCTGCCCAGCATCTGCATGCAGTTCACGCTCCCCGCCCATCAGTCACTCAGGAGCTGTCTCCGTGGTCAGGTCGCCTGTCCCTGCATCGCACTACTTGTGTTCAAGTCACCTTTATTTTGCTTAGTCATGGCCCCGAAGCGCAGGAGTGGTGCTGGCAGATCAGATGGGCCAGAGAGGAGCTGTCAAGTGCCTCCTTGAAGTAGAAAGGTGCAAGTTCTCCACTTATTAAGGGAAGAAGAGAAATTGTATGCTGAGCTTGCTAAGATCTATGATAAGAAGGGGTGCTCTCTGTGGAATTGTGAAAAAGGAAAAAGAAATGTGTGCTGGTTTGCTGAGAAAGAGAGCACATTCATACAACTGTTGTTATAGTATGTGATGACTTTTATTTTTAGTTATTATTACTCTCTTACTGTGTTAATTTATAAATTAAATTTTATCATAGGTATGTATGTATAGGAAAAACCATGGTAGATAGATAGGCAGGCAGGCAGGCAGGCAGGCAGATAGGTAGGTAGGTAGGTAGGTAGATAGATAGATAGATAGATAGATAGATAGATAGATAGATAGATAGATAGATAGTTTGGTATTATCTGTGGTTTCAGGCATCCACTGGGGATCTTGGAACCTGTCCCCCAAGGATAAGAGGGGACCATTGTAATGTGATATAAAGACAGGAGCTCCGGGCTAGAGGTCAGGATGCCTGGACTCCAAGCTCCCCCTACCCCCTTCACACTCCTTCAGGGTGTGATCCTACCTCTCCAAGTCCTCAGTTTCCCTAGCTTGTAGAAGGGAGACCCTCTTTGCCTCATTTAAGGTTGTAAGGATTACTGAGATCATTTGTGTGGAGTTCCTGGAGTGCGCACCAGATACAGCAATATTCGCCAGCAATATCTGGGCTCTGATGGCCGAGTCCCATCAGGGAGACGGGCTGCCTGCCCTTCCCAAGTCTTGTGGGCTGAGGTTGGCTGGCAGCACCTCAGTTCTGGCTCCACACTTGCTTTGTCAGTGACAGTGCTCAGTGACAACTGCCGCAGTTTTTAGTAAGTGAATCTCTATGTAGTCACAGGGGCCCAAGCAGTGCCCCAAATTTGGCCATGTAGCCAGCGATTTCAGGGTACTTCTGGGATTCAGACACTGGCCTCCAAGCATTCTTAAGGGACCAAGTTCCATTTCAGCTCAATCTGTATATTTTCCTAGGAAAGCTCACCAAGGCCCCCATGCTTTGAGTTCACATGTTCTATATAGGCAGGTCCGTGAACTTCGAGGATGGTGTCTAGGACACACCCCAGTCCATGGCTCTCTTCTGAAATGGAGACCAGGTGTGATCTGTGACTTCACTGAGCTTGAGCAGCTCAGTCAGAAGGAACGAGTGTCTCTTGGAGTCTGAATAGCTACTATAGGTCTGTCCCCTCCCCACTCCCATCTTCCTTGGTGGTTTCCTGCATTGTTTGGATGTTAGTCCTGTCAATAAGGAGGTACAGACTTGAGTCACCAGGTTCAAATAAGGTGGCTTCTTCCTCTTCCCCGTTCAACTGAGGAAGCTTGAGGACCTAGCCATTGAACTACACATTTTATTTTATTAGCTATATATTTTGAAATAAATAAAATCGCCATACTTTGCTTTAGCTTTTCTTCAAAATATTGCCCACACTGAGATGCTAAAGATGAAACGTGCTAGGAAAACTCCACTTTGTCCTTTCTAACAACTATTTCAACAACTATTTCCTGAGTCACGGGCCTGGCAGGTACTGTGCTGGTAGCAGGAGCCCAGGGCAGGGTGGGGCTGCTCTGATGCCCAGAAAGGGAGGAGCTGACCCCACCAGCCTGCTGTTGACTTGTATTCCTGGGAATCTTGTCCTTCCCCCTGTGTGTGGGAGAGGAGGAGGTGATTCCAGGGGCAGGTGTGCTCAGCTGTGCTTGCCTAGGTCAGACTTCTCAGATTCCTTCCTGGTTGGTGGTACGGCTCCATTAGTCCACATGTGATGGCAAAACAGGAAATGTTTGGGTTTTTTGGTCTTTGTTACACCTCCCTCTCAGGTGGGCTTTTCCTAAGCCCTCGCAGCTGTGTTTGAGCGGCCTCCCTGGAGCCTGATGGGAAGGTGGGGGCTGGCTTGGCTCGCCCCTCGCCTGGCTCGCCCCTCTGTCCCCTGGGCCCAGTATAGCACTGAGAAGAAAGGTTGGTGTGGCTGCTGACAGTTATCCCAGGAGGCTCCTCCCTTCATCCTCCAGGGACAGGCTTCTCACTCATTTACTTGTTCACCAGCCCTCTCTCCCCTCCAAGTGGTGGGCAGTACCCCTGCACCGCCCCAGAGCAGAGGCGCACAAGCGGCTGCTTCCTCCTTCGCCCGGTGCCTCTTCCGTCCTGGGCAGGGGAGGCCAGACCCCAGAAAGAACATTCATGAAGGAGAAAAAGGTTTTGGTTGTGCTCGGCCCACAGCCCCAGGGACCAAGGCAGAGAATGGGAGTCTGTCCCCGACAGCTGGAGCAGAGCGTGCAGTGGGCGTGGGGCCTCCCAGCTCTTTACCGAGTCAGAGCACAGGAGAGGCCGCTGGACGCGAAGGCCAGTGCTGGGAGACCCAGCAGAACTGCCTGGAAACCAGCAGCCAGGCTCCCGCTGCAGAAAGGCGGCTTTGGAAAAGGTGCAGTGTGGGGAGAAGCTTCCGAGGTCACAGGAGAGGGCAGGTCAGCTTCGTGGCTCCTGGCCTGAGCTACTTTTGTGGGTGCTGTCAATGGCTTTAACTTCACCTTTGGCATTTCTACAAAGAGCTCTCTCTAAAAGGCAAGTGTTTTAAAATATTTTGGGGTTACAGTCCCTTTAAGAATTTGGGGAAAGCTATAGACCCTATATTCAGAAAAATTCAGACACACAATTTTGCCTATTAATTTCAGAAGGTAAATGGACCTCCAAACCCCAGGTTATGAAGCCCTAGCTCTAAGAGAGTCCTGACGAGTAGTAGCAATAATAAAATACTCCTCCCAGCCAGCATGTAGTGAGCACTTACCGTGTGTCCCATCCATGTATTTATACACCCCACCCTCCTGACACAGCATGGGGACATTAGGTGACACCCCCAAGTCACATGGCTAGTGAGGGGCAGATCCAGCATCTGAACCTAGGTGGTCTGGGGGTCCAGAACCACACTCTATAGCTCTTTTTTTTCCCCCAGCCAGAGTGAACTCCAGGGTAGGGATGCCCAGGCTGACTTATCTCTGTATCCTGTTTTTAATCTTTGCTAGTCAGCCAGGTAAAAAAAATAAAAATTTACACTTCTTCTTTGTCAAAGTATTATACCCTAAAAAATATCTTTATGTTTATCTTTTGGTGTCCTTTGCCCATTTTTTACTATTTTAGTATCTTTTATGAAGATACTAAGGAAGTGTTCCCTTCCTTTTAAGTTTTTTCTAAAGATTTTTTAAAATTTTATTTTATATATATATATAGAGAGAAACATCGATGTGAGAGAAACATCAGTCCATTGCCTCCCCATGTACCCTGACCGGGAATTGAGCCATGAACCTTCAGTGCATGAAACGATGCTCCAACCAACCGAGCCACGTTGGCCAGGGCTCCTTTTAGTTTTTTTTTTTTTTTAAGGCAAATCTGTCAGTCACCCTTTTCCTTTAAAGCTTTTAGGTATAGCATGCTTTCTAAAATCATGGAGTAGGTATATAAGTGTGCGGTATTTTCTGCTGTTGCAAAACAAAAACAAAAACAAAAAAATCCTCCATTTTCTACCGCACCCTGCACTTTTCATGATTCCAAAGACCCATTAGTTTCCATCAGTAACCACATTTCCAAACAGTTTTTCCTCGAAACGCGTGCAGAGCTCTAGCAGATCTTCTGCATTCAAACATTCCCTTTCCCTTTGCAAAGGTCAGAAAATTAAATGATGGATGAAAATTAGTCAGAAAAATGCTTAGCACTGAGACATTGGCAAATGATCCAATAGCAGAAGATGGCAGCAGTAAGGTTGTCGTGTGACTCCATTGAAAGGGCCAGTGCAGAACATCCTACTTTGGTGAGAAACCTGTACTTGCTCTCTAGACAGGTCTCACTGTGGAAGGCCAGGTGAGGGGTCCGACTTTGAGGACTCCACGGAGGAAGTGTGGGGCTCGGCGCTAGGACCCCAAACTTGGAGTCAGGAGCCCTCGGCTCACAGTGCTACTTTAGACAGGTCCTCGGGTCTCCATTTCTTCTTCTGTAAATGGGGGAAGAACCCCCACCTCTTCTGAGGGTCTCATGAACCCGAGAGCACCCAGTACAAGGCAGCCAGGGCAGATGCCAGTAAGGGTGCTCCCTTCCCTCCCTCCCACAGATGAAAGCTGATCATTTTGAAGTTGTCCACTCCCCACCTCTCCCCACCCCCACACAAACAAGTTACTGTATCTGCTTTTGAATTTCTGAGATTAAATGTAAGATTATTTACTGAGAGATGTTTTCCATAAAGGCATATTTGAAAAGCCAGAACTGCAGTGGAGAGGGCCACAAAGATACATTGAAATGAAGACTGGAAATCTTTTTTGTCAATGAAACTGCATTTTCAGTGTGCATGGGCAGAGCTCTCCCTGCGGAACAGTGCAAATGCCCGGGCGTATTTCCCTTGGCTCCCCTTCTGAAAGGGCGGCTGTGCCCAGAGCACCAGGCCAACACTAACTCGGCGGCACCAGGGCCCGCTCGCAGAGGAGTGAGCGCCCCAACCTCATCTCTATAAAGACCATATTTACACTCTCGGAGCTGCAGCGGGATGTTCCACG